CTGCTGAACATGTTGAATTTTAATCAAGACAAAACAATGCCAGGCAGGCTTCAGTTCCCACGTGGTATCCCCTTACTTCTATAGGGCACAAACAAGTGAAAAATTAACATAGTATCCTCCTGTGCATATATTCTTGATGGAACCTCATTAAGCACAAAGATTTAATGCCAGTCAGCTCATTATTTGCTTATGATTTGACTTTTGTAGCATGTCTAAGTTGAGATTTTTTGTAACCAGATTTGCCACTGTTGGAGAAGACTAAAAAACCAAGAAAATGTATAGGAAAACATAGGAAACCAGTTAACACAGGAGTACTGTAGACTCTAGAGGTTCCTTGCTTCCCTTATACATGGTGTTTGAAGAACTTTGTTAATTTACATGCTGTATTAAGGGTGAAAAGATTAATTCTGTACTGTATGTAGTTGTTCTCAACAAACTCCCAAGAAAAGCCAATGCAAAGTAAGTAGGTGTACATCAGTAGCTCTGAACTGAAGAGGCCAATTGTTGTAAAAGGCTTTAGGTTCCTTTAAACTAATAAAATAACATTAAGAACATTTGTTACATTGCACAGTTGTTTATCTTCCTACTTCAGCATATTTCACATGTCATGCTCTTCAAAACTATGTATTTAACTGATAATCTAAACATCTCTTATGTATGTATCCTGTGGCTCATAAGCTATTGTTATTTGGATAAAATCCATGACGTTAATGGAATGAAGAAGATCAAAGAAGTATTACGATTGCTAGAGAAATGCTTTAGCCATCTTCTTTACTGTTTTCACCTATATTTTAAAAGAGTTTAGTTGAAAAGGTTTCCCTCATAGAGTAACTTTTTTCTGGTTTAGAAGAGAAAGCCCACCCGTGCCCTTTGGGAGAAGCTGGTGAGGAGTTTCATCTCTTTTTCTTTTATGAGAGTGTTAAAAGTTTTTCTTAACACTCCTGATTTCTACAGATTTAGTAGTATTGGTGCATTGCATAGGCAGATATGCTTAGGCTTAGGCTAAGTCCAGGAGATCCATTAGTTTATTTCCTTTTTTTCCTCTCTTCTTACATGTCACAATCCAGTTCCCCTTACTGCAATGATCCGTCTTCAGCAACAACAACAACAAAAGTGTAGCAAGTGAGTTAGTGAAGTACTGTAGATACACATAGTTCAGACTGCGTTAAAGTTCTTTCATTAGAAGATTCAAATTATTGACATCTACATTCTCAACAGAAAAGACCAGATTTATAGAAAAGATAAGAAGAACTGGAATGTTTTTTTCAAATTAATTATGTTTCCTCCTGCCATCATATTTTTAACATTGTGCAAAAGCACCATACAGCTTTCAGTAGTGAATTTGCATGTGCAATCAACCTGTGAATGAGAGGTGTTTTTCTCTTCTAATGTCATATTTGAATTTTGTACCTTTATACATCTGAGCACATCCAGATGTCTCAGTTGCCATCCACATTACTCTTTCTTGAAGCCCTTTCATCTGAAAAATTAGTTTTCAATTACTTTAGTAATCAGGTTCCAAAATACCATTAGTGTAACTGGGGAAATGGATAATTATGCATGTAAGTCTGATTACTATGGGGTCTAGTTTCTTCAGTGCGCTCAGAGAGTTTAAAAAAAGACTATCATTTTTTCTGTAGCTGTCTCCTGGTTCAATAAGAATGTTGGTTCCATTCCTTTAACTAAAAAGGCCACTAAACATGTTTTCAGTTGTGGTTGCACCCTATGACCCATACAGCTATGTACTGTTTTTAAATCAGTTCAGCAACATCTGTTACTGAAGAAGAGAGGATGTTCTTTACAATCCATTCTTTTTCTGGACATCGTGTTTATGTGTTTGGTGGGCATCCGTTTTTGTGTCGGTTTTTCTTCTCATGCACTCTTAACACTAGCATCTTTTCCCTACCTGTTGTTAGTACAAACTAACATGGGCAGTAATTTGGTTTAAAGTTATATAAATGTTTAGCAGCCATCAGGTTTTAGACTTTATCCAGTACATTCGTGCTTATATCTGGTCCAATTCCGAAATAGCTGAAAGTGATTTTCTGGAGAGAAGGCTGAAGTAGGAACAATTACTCCTGCAACTTGGTTAAGGGAATATCATTTAGGATTTCATGTCACAAGCTATACATACAGTCTGAATATCTGGTAGTTTCTGGTTAAAATATAGCACTTAAATAGTCTAAAAGGTCTGTAATTGAACTATTTTTTTCAATTCAATTAGCTGCTGCATTCTTGTATTTATAGTTGAGCAAAGTAGAAGATAGTGTCTGGTTTTATTAATAAATTTCTATAATGTAAAATTCCAGCATTTCCCCCCAAAATTCAGTATTAACCGTATGAGATATTAGGCTGTAGAACAGTTTCTGATGTATGAAAGCGTCAAATCATTGCAGTTTATACCCAGTAAAACACTTAACTTGGAGATGTACTTATGCTATGAGTTATTATTACTGCTTTGTGGTAAGAATAATCTTTATTTCAGTAAAAATACTGGAGTTTTAAATTTTAACATTTCTTTATACTGAAGAAGAGAAAGGCCAAAACAGTTTCACTGCATATGTTTGCACTTTAATTTTTTCAGATAAAATAGCAAATAAACCCCCTGTTGTAGTCAAACTTGTTACACATGCAGGCTGTAATTGATTCTAGCTTCTAGCTACAGTTGCAGTTAAAAATGAGAATCTCAAAAGAAAAACATTACAGGGTGACACAGCAAGAGGTAAAGGCTGATCCTTGCCCTTTTGTCAAACCATCACATTTGGGAAAGTTTGTCTCTTCTCTTATCTTTTTAAATGTTTTCCAAAGCTCTTGTAGTCTACATATAAAGATCTGAGATGAATGCAACATCTATGTGTATTTTTTCTCCTTAGATTGGAGGGAGGAATTTACACCTAGGAGTTAATGTGGGTGTGTGTTACCTCAGTTCAGTCTTCCAAAAGCTAGCTCTGGCTGCACTCACGAGAGTGCATGAAGTAACTAAAGAGAATGAGTTGGTGTCTTCCTGTGCTTCTTCCAGTGGTCCCCATTTGAAACCTCACAGGTGAGAGAAGCAGTGCCAGTACTTTACCCATCCTCTCAAAAGAAATGAAAAAAGAAAATGAAATAGAGGGGAAATAAAAGCTTTCATCCTAATTTCATACACCTTTCACAATTACCTGTTTAATGCTATATGCCTTCTTCTGGGCAGCCAGCCATATACAGCTCTCCCAGTAGCTGAACAGCGTGTGTGCCGCTAGGGACTGCTGCGGGTGCCAGGGATATTCAGAGCAGTGAGAACACTGCAACAGCACAGGGCCAGCTAGAAAACATTGATCACAAGCCATAAACTATACTGCGGGATCATTTTGTGGTGTTAAAAGGGTAATTCTTTGTTAAGAAAGAGCAATATTCCTCACTTAACATAAATTATGAGTGGGGAAAGATAACCAAAATGGAGCAGGGAGTGCTAGCATACTGAAGAAAGGTTGTAATTTATTTTGCAGAAAGCACAGAGAATAGCCAATACATTATAGAAGGGAAAAAGGAGACGTCAATTCTGAGTGAGGCTCTGTAGGCCCCTTGAAGGATGTCAGCTGTACTTTTGGTAACTTGTTACTTGTGCTGCTGTGATGTACTGGCTGACACAACTTCCCCTTCTGTCGATAAACCGGTGCTCGGGTTCTTTGTACATGAACACGTGTATCTGCAGCTGAACTTTTCCCCGTTACCAGTGGTGGTTTTGGAACACAAAGGGAGTTCAAAATCTGCAGAAACTGAAGAGTCAATTAGTTAAATACTTGCTGTCATACCTTGTTCCTTCTGCTGCTGCATGGAGCAATGACCTACTGACAAACTACTGGAGTTTGCAGTACAGTGATTTATTTGTAATACTAAGTAAGAAAAAGGTTTGGATACCATTCAAAGGATGACCTTTAGTTCCTTTCAGGAGTGGCATGAAAGATTTCCCCTTTTTACTGTAGCAGAAAAAGATAAAAATGACTTGTATTGTGATCTGGCAGTCTCTCTTATGCCTGCATGATTGGGCCTCTGATTATGGTAAGAAAATCTCATTTTTAATCATCTCATTACATTAAATCATTACTACACATGTTCCAAACTCCACTGGTCCTACTGTTAGTAAAGCTTTGTACATTTGTCAGCACTATTAAGTCATGAGGTTATACAAGGGACAACTCTGTTGCTGGAAGATACATGCTATGCCTTCATAGCTATTGAATTTGCATAGAAAAACACTGGAATTTAGCTAAGATGTTTTGGAAGCAATTCCAGAAAACAGAGTTATCTTGAAGTGCCTTTTTCCAGTAATTTTCCTAAATAATCAGAAGT